TTTGACTTTTGTTTTCCTTGCTGGATTACATCAAGCTCAAGGACATTCGAAGGCGTAAGTTCATGTTGGAATTCATCCCCATGGACAGGCGATGATTTCCAAAGGGGGGACTGTAGTGAACTAGGCCTGAGGTCAAATCCTGACCTTAAGGACCTTATGGGACAGAAACTGTCATTTCATTGATTTGAATCCAGAAATACAGGTTGACCCATCCTGAGACTTTCTTTCTTGAATTGATCAAGTGAAAGAATACTACTTTCTATTATCATTACTATTTTTCAAATGTTTTGATAATCAAATTGTGTTAGTTCAAACCATTTTTAAATGTTGAAGTGAACTACTCATTTAAATCAACTGTGAAACAGTAATAATGATTGTTAATCCTCATTCAAAGTAGAAATCAGGTTAATGATGCATTGTCTGATTTTCTGTCTTCAATGAGCAAGTTGTGTAAGTTGGTCAAAGGTCAAGTTTCGGTCAACTTTTAGTTTACTGAAAAAGAAATGTCATGTTTAACTTTTACAGGAAGATACTAGAGAATTGACTCCACGAAGTCTGAGTTCTTCATAATATCTTCTGTCTGTTCTTAAACAATCTAATCTTTTTCCTTGACTTTTTAATAACACCTTACATCACAAAACACACCTCTGTTTTGGTTCATCGACCAATCAGAAAGTTCTCAAATGAACCGGAAGTGAGCTCTTTTAAAAGGTGCAGCACTTCCTAGTTCACAGAGGTTCTGCGGGTACAGGGGTTCCAGCTCCAGTCGAGTTCTGGAGAGCTCAGTAGTTCTGAGAAGTTCTCGGCAGTTCTAGGAAGAACGCTGAGGAGAACGCTGAGAGAATGCTGTGAGTTGGTTCTGCGGTTCTGACAGCAGTTCCAGAGTTCAGAAGGCTGGAATTCAGGATGCTGGAGGAAGAAAAATAAGCTGAACGAGAGAAGATCAGGGAATTATGAAATGTCTGTTCTGGATGATCTCACGACTCCTGAGGTTTAGCTGTTCTTACGGAGACGCTGGAAGAGTTGAAAGGAAAGCTCTACACCAACGCTGAAACTATCATCTGCAAAGGTAAAGAGTAGATCTCAACCAAAGTGTACCGTTGGGTTAAGCTGGTCCAAAGGAGCGTGTTGTTCTGGTATAACAGACAAATTCCCTCACCCATCTCTCTCAACTTAAACTTCATTTTCCATCTTTAAACTCTTCTATTTTGCTAGCAAATCATTCCAGATATTTTCAGAAATGTCTGTTGTACAGCTGGAAGCAAGGTTTCCAACCATTGCCGTATGGTTAATCCTTGTAAAACTTGCTAAATTAGCCATGTTGTTATTTTCATTTTGCCAAATTAATGTAAATGTGTGATGTTAAACTTTGATTCTGTAAATAAATGACGCATTCATTTGATGGGTCAAAGATAAACACGTCTCACGTTACATTTTTAATTATTCAATGCACGATATTATCCAGTCCAGAAAAATGAAAGAATCCGTTTAATTTATGAATATATACAGCATATGTTCATTCTACACGAGCACAGATGCAACAGTGGAAAGGAAAAACTCCCTCATGAGGAAGACGTTTGTTGTGTTGGTATTTCTTTGTTGGTAATGTTGTTTATATTGTTGCTCTTATTGTTTTGTTTGTTGTTGTTTATAGTTCAGGGATCATTGATAAAAGATGTTGTTTTTCTGATATTTATTTATCTTTTCAGGTCACAGATGTGTTTAACCAATCAGCTGACTGTTTGGGGTAAAAACAGCTTCATGATTTAATCCTGGGAAACAAATTCCAGGTTTTTTTTACATTTCCAAATAAATTATTTTTATATATATGGTTTAATATTTAATTTCTTCATTATATTTTAATAAAATTAACTGTCAAATATTTAATAAAGTGTTATGACCTAAAAAAAAGTTAAACCTGGTCCTCTGGACATTCAAAAAAACAAAACAAAGCAAATCAACAAAAAAATGTAGAAACGTTTCGTCTCTCATCCGAGAGACTTCGAGTTTAACGTACTAATAGCTCATCAACAACATCACTATTCCAATAACAACACATTCAGTGTAGGACAACACTCCAGTAGTCAATTACATGCCAGGGAGACAGAAAAGTGGGTGAAGAATTTATCTGACAGACAGCTCACCCAGCCAGAGACAGAGATTCTTGCCAGGGGACTGAACTTTGCGGTTGCACCAAGTAGAATTCCTCTGGTGGAGATGATCACAGCTACTGAGTCAGCCATCCGCAACAACAAAATGAAAGAGGGTGAAGCAGAACAGCTCAGAATCAAAGTTTCATCCTGCCTCAGCAATGCCAAACCACCACCTTCCAACATCAGTAGAGAGGAGAGGGATGCACTCACCACTCTTAGCAAGGACAAAAACATCATCATTCTCCCAGCAGACAAAGGAAGGTGCACAGTGATTTTGAACCAGAAAGACTATCATGAGAAAGTTATGACACTCCTTAGTGACTTAAACACTTATGAACCTCTGAAAAGAGATCCAGGAAGTGGTTACAAGAAGAAATTGATAGATTGCCTGAAAATTTTGGAGCAGGACAAGGCTATTGACCGTATTCTGTACCACAGACTGTACCCAGGGGAGGCCACACCTAGTCTGTATGGTTTACCTAAAATCCACAAACAAGGTGTACCTTTAAGACCAATTGTTAGTATGATTAACTCTGTCACTTACAATGTTTCCAAATATCTGGCGTCTGTACTCATCCCTTTAGTTGGCAGCTCAGAACACCACATACAGAACACCATGGACTTTGTGGACAAGGTGAGGGATGTCATCATGGAGACTGATGAAACAATGGTCTCTTTTGATGTCACATCACTCTTTACGTGCATTCCTGTTGATGATGCAGTAGAGGTGGTCAGTTTAAGATTAAAATCAGACACCACTCTGAGCAGCAGGACCACGCTTTCCACAGAACAACTGTGTCAACTCTTGAAACTGTGCCTGCAGTCAACCTACTTCACATATGGGGAGCAATATTATAGGCAGAAACATGGGTGTGCTATGGGGTCTCCAGTTTCTCCTATTGTTGCCAACCTGTACATGGAGGAGGTAGAAAAGAGAGCCTTGACGTCCTTTTCAGGGACACCACGAAGTCATTGGTTCAGGTATGTTGACGACACCTGGGTTAAAATCAAATCTCAGGAAGTCCAACATTTTACTGACCACATCATCTCTGTGGATAAATACATCAAGTTCACACGAGAAGATGTAAAAAATGGCAGGTTGGCTTTCTTGGACTGTGAGGTCTCAGTCTCTGATAGAGGACATTTGCAAACCGAGGTGTACTGCAAACCCACCCACACAGACCAGTATTTGCAGTTTGACTCCCATCACCCTTTGGAGCACAAGTTAGGAGTCATCAGGACTCTGTACCACAGAGCAGACAGCATCCCCACTAGCTCAGGAGCCAGGCAGAAGGAGAAATCCCACACAAGACAGGCTCTAGAGCAATGTGGATATCCTAACTGGGCCTTCCTAAAAGCAGAGAAGAAACCCAAACAGGACTCCAGTCAGCCATCAGGTGAAAAGGAGGAACCCAGACCAGTGGTCATTCCAGATGTTGAGGGAGTATCAGAGAAACTGAGACGTTTATTTTCTAAACATAACGTCCCAGTGGCTTTTAAACCCCAAAATACATTAAAGACTGGTTCATCCCAAAGATCCAGTCCCCCGGCACAGAGTAATGTTGTGTATGCTGTTCAGTGTCAGGAGGGTGATCAGTCTTACATCGGGGAAACTAAACAGCCACTGGCCAAAAGGATGGACCAGCACAGAAGATCAACATCATCAGGCCAGGACTCTGAGGTCTACACTCATCTCCAGGCCAGCGGTCACTCTTTCAAGGATGAAGATGTTCACATCCTGGACAGAGAGGAACGATGGTTTGAGAGGAGTAAAGGAGGCCATCTTTGTGAAAAGAAACCGTCCATCATTAAACAGGGGCGGAGCCTCCAGGTTCAACTGTCCCCCTCTTACAATGCTGTGATTGCTAGTATCACTCAGCCCTCTGTGAGTAGTAAACAGCCATCAGGTGCTAATGATCCATTGTTAGGCTGATGGTCCTTCTTGAGCATGTGATCAGCTGGTTTTGGTTGTCAGCAGCAAACTGGTTGATCCACTCTGAGAAGGTGCTATTTAAGAGACTGAGCTGAAAACAGCTCCTCAGACTGAGGAAGTCTCTCGGATGAGAGACGAAACGTTTCTACATTTTTTTGTTGATTTGCTTTGTTTTGTTTTTTTTTTGAATGTCCAGAGGACCAGATTTTACTTTTTTAGATTTTTCTACCTGGATTATTGAGCATGCATCAGGATAAAGTGTTATGACATTCTGTATTTTATAGTTTCTATTACATTAAACAATGTATTTATATTTTGTATATGATCATTCGTGGACCTGATAGACCTATGTCTCTGTCTCAGTCCTTTGTCCTCCTCAGTCTGTCCCGCCCTCGGTCTGGCCTGGGCCAATCAGGTCATGGTTCGGCTGATGATGCGGCGTCTCCAAGGGACAGTTTCTCGTGGCAACCAGAGCAGCGCCCTTCGCAGGTTGGAGGTGGTGTTCGCCCCTCACCTGGCCCACGACGGCAGAGACGCTGCAGTTTGGAGGGAGGGGGTTTGTGGAGTCCTGGACCCTGAGTGACCAGAGACAATCACAAAGACTTCAACTGTGACAAGTTCTAGGTGTAAAAATAAAAACTGATATTCTTCTCTGGATTATAGGGACCATTTTCAATTTCTGCTTGTTGTTTTTGTAAATCTTTTTAAATTCAAAATGGATCAAGAACCAGAGGACTGTTGGGGGTTTTAGTTTCTGTTGTGAGTCAGGATTCAACTCAAGTCAGATTTATTTATAGAGCACATTTAAAACAGAAACCAAAGTTACCAAAGTGCTTAACAATAAAATTACAGCATCAAGTAAAAGCTAACAGGATATAATTAAAAGCATCAAAACACAAACACAACGAGGAACAACGGGATAGTAAATCACATCACACTGTGTTCAATGTCGGTGAATACAGGTGTGTTTTTAAAAGCAGACACTGAAGTGGCCTGTCTAATGTTGGGGGCACACTGTTTCAAAGTTTAGGGCCAAGAACTGAAGAGGCCTGATCTCCTCTGAGCTTCAACCAGAAGCAGCTGGTCACGTGATCAAGTGACTAATTAAACCTGTTGGAAAAAACCTCCAGGTCCAGGACTGCAGTTTCACAAACTGGCCAGGAGACAAGTCAAGTTCAAGTTGTTTATTTGTCATATGCACGTTAACGCAAGGTCAACACAAGGTCAACAGTACAATCAAATGCTCAGGATGAGGACCGATTTGACTCGCTACAAAATCAAAGAACAAATTATTTCAAGTATTTCAAGGTAGTAATATAAGCTAAAAAGCACATTATATATATATATACATATATATAATATATATATAGCTATATATATTTATATATATCTATAGCTATATATATAAAATATATATATATAGCTATAGATATATATATTTATATATATATATCTATAGCTATATATATATATATATATATGTGTGTATATATATATATATACATACACACACACATAAATATATATATGTGTATATATACACACACACATATATATATATATATGTGCAGTATACTGCACATAATCAACATATACCACATATAGGTTATTGCACATGAGGTTGAATTATTAGTTATTGTCAGTTGTTCAGTGTTATTTATCTAGAGTTCAGTAATCTGACAGTTTGTGGATAATAACCGTCCTTTAGTCTTTTTGTACGTGATGACAGGCTCCTGTATCGTCTGCATGAGGGGAGTAGATGGAAGAGTCCTTGTGCTGGGTGGGTGTGGTCCTTAATGATGCTGCTTTACGCAGACATCAGCTGTGGTAGATGTCCTGGATGGTGTGGAGACTGCTACCAGTGATGTCCTCTGCTGTTTGCACCACCTCTGTAGAACTTTCTGACTGGTGCAGTTCCTGTACCACCCTGTGATGCAGCCTGTCAGCAGGCTGTCAGTGGGGCAACTATAGAAGTTGGTGAAGATGCTGGTGTTTGTACCAAACTTCTTTAGTCTTCTTAGGAAGTAGAGTCTTTGTCTGGTTTTCTTGACCACAGTGTCTGGATGTAAAGTCCAGGACAGATCTTCAGTAACGTGAACGCCGAAGAACTTGAAGCTGCTGACCTGCTCCACCTCAGCGTTGTTTATGTTGATGGTGGAGTGCTGACCTCCATGATGTTTCCTGAAGTCCTCTATCATCCTTTGCTCCTTTGATAATGTTGCTCTTAGATGGAAAACAAATAAACAGACTGAAAATCCAACCAGAGTGTCTCCAAACATCAAGACAGAGTTTTACATGGGCCACACTGAGTTCAATTGGCCCCCCCCCCCCCCCCCCCCCCCCAAAAGAAAAACTGGATCCAAGACAGAACCGTCAGAATCTACTTCAAAACTATTTTTAAACATTTCTTAATTTATTTAGGTCAGAACATTCATCCAGTGTCTTACACCGGACAAGGTCCTGAGGTAACAAGGGTTTAATGAACCGTGCTGAGTTCAGGGTCTTTAGGTAACCAGGGTTTAATGAGCCGT